CAACTACAGTCACAATTTATTCAAAAGATATGAAAAATCCAACTCATTTTGCCTCGAAATTGATGCAATCGCTGCGCCCAATTTGCCGTACAGCTCAGGAGTCGCCAGTGATACATTCAAATATTGCTGCTGGACAGGAAACTTATGTCAAACTTTGACTGTCAAATGCTATTGGCTCCCTCTTTGTTTTGTGACCGATTGTTTCAAATGCTATTGTCTTGTAACTGATCACATCGATTGCTAATGACTCCCTCTGTCTCTGATGACCGATGGTGTCAAATGCTATCATATTAACCAATGTGAAACAGCAAACAGAGCACAGTACTGAGTTATGCGTCATGCAGCAAGAATAAAGAGGTATTCTCAGCAGACATTGTTCAAAAAGACACTCCTTTTACTGTATTTTATTGTATTGTAGTAATATTAGATGGTATTGTTGGGTAAAGGAGATCCACTTGTGCCACTTTGTCATACAATCTAGTTATAAGAATGCATATTAATATATGCAGAAATACAGAAGTGTAAATCATAGGCCAACATTTTCTAGTGCCAACGTAAAACAGCCTGAAGGGTATATTTGAGATTGTGTCTAATAACAAGAAGATAATGTCATGGTTTTACATGCTAAAATATACTACTAAAGGCTTTATGTATGGTATCTCGGTGAAAAGTGTCCTGTCAGAGACTTCCCATATAGCGATGATGTCTTTTTTCTTGGAAGCCTGAGGTTGAGGCATTAGGAACACTTTAGGGGTGTAATCATAGCTTCGAGTGGTATTTACTGCTATTAAAGCCCTGGTGTGTGCCAACCCACAGATGCTTGCAGTAGCTCCCTTACTGAGCGAGAAAGACGTCTTCAACCATCGGCTTATGCTTGAGTGCTGCCATCATCCACATGACATTCTGAGAGGAAAGTCTGATGTTTAGCTGCCCGGATGATCTTTTAGATTGTTTTATAACTATCCCATGGGTAAAGTGGTTGGAAGAAAGATCAAGCTCCTATAATGGAATATAAAAACCATAAAAAATGAGGAAAAATAAATAAATAAATAACATGATTATGTTTAATATGATTTTGACCAATAGTTTTAGTCTTATTTGGTTTTATTACTCACATACTAAAATACCCCTGATGTACGTGTACGTAACACCTTAATTAAAATCTTTCAGATCACATCACTAACATTTTTAACATTATTTAGTGCCTGGACAGAAAAAAAAATATGGTTATCATTCATAAAGGCTGATTTATACTTCTGCGTCAACGCATAGCCCTTCGCCGTGGCCGTCGGCGTGGCTGACGTGCACCTCTCAAAAATTGTAACTACACGTCGCAACGACGTGTAGTTACATTTTTTAAATGGTGCACGTCAGCGACGCCGAAAGCCACGGCGAAGGGCTATGCGTCAGCGCCGTACCATACGCCGGCGTTTGACGCAGAAGTATAAATCAGCCTTTAGAGATCATGACAATAGCACGCTCTCTGTGTGTGTGTGTGTGTGATGTGTGAGCATGAAAGGCAGGTGATCTTGAAACACAGATTAGGAATAAGAGCTTCCAATCTGCTCCAGCCAGACAGTGACGTCAGACGTGACAAACCGGGACTCATCAGGCCATGACTCGATGCAATTTCTACACCGAGAACACTGTGACTACTATTAAACAACCACAAATAAAAACAGCAAGTTAGAGACTCCCAAAGCAACAACAAACGAACACGCAGCGTTTGCTCCTTAAGGGTATTGAATGGATTCTACTGCTGAAATAACCACAGCCTGAGGGTCTGTGAAAGAAAGAGACTCAACCAACTCCGTTTCCTTAGGGACAACCACATTTTGCTTTCCTTGAAGAAACCTCCAGTTCTCTCTGAACAGTCTGCATGAGTGTGTGTTAATTGAAAGGGTTGGTCTAGTGTTAGTGAAGCATTAGGTCTGACCTACATTTATATGTCCTCATAAATCCAGGCCTTGCAGACGGCCACATCTTTCTACCGGCACACACACACACTTCAGGTAGCTGCATACTAATCTATTACATTCCTAACATTCTTCCTTCAAAGGACTGGAGATTCCAGCTTCATTACATCATTTCCTGCATCATGTTCAGCTCATCGTGAAGGACTGGATATGGAATGTATGAAAATAGTGGTTCAACCAAACAAATTTACACTTTTTTTTTGTTGCCGTTTGTTTAATTTAAAATGAGCTTAATCAAGTCAATTCAGGAGATCTGTTGGGAAACTTTTTTATGTTCAATCCACTTGAGTTTGTTACGGTAACTTAAATGATTTGTGTTGGGACGATGTGACTGAATTGCGTGGAACAACTTAAAGTGTACAGTGGTTATATTAAAAAGGAACTTGATACATAACAACATGCTTATCTGTTATCTAGAAATCTTTGGTTTAACTGGGTGATTTTCCCCAAGACAGAAAAAAAAAAACAATCAACTATCTTGGAACTGTTTAACACCAAAAACTTTCATAAAATTTTAGATATAAAGTTTAGAAAAAGGGTAAATAATAGAAGTAACATTGTTTACTTTAACTAAAGGGGTAATTCACCTAATACTGAAGGTTTGGTCATCATTTGCTCATTCCTCTCTTGTCAAAAACCTGTTTGAGTTGATATTTTCTGTTAAACACAAAAGAACATATTTTGAAAAATCTTAGAAACCTAAAACCATTAACTTGCATGGTATTTCTACTGTGGACGTCAATGGTTAACAGTTTCTAAATGTCTTCAAAACATCTTCTTTTGAGTCCAGCAGACAAAAGCAAGTTAATAGTGAGAATGTTTTCATTTTTTTGGGGGGTGAACCATCCCTTTAAGTGATCAGATACAAATAAATATATGAAATCAACATAATCTATAACATAAGAGCTATTTTGAATGTAAAGTGATAGAATGTAGCTACAACAGTCATGCCGAGTTAACAGAATTGCAGCAGATAATAAAATGTCAACGTAAACATATATTTAAAAGGTTCCATATAAGTATGGAGATCCATATCCACATAAAAGATCAATACCTATGTAAAAGGGACTACTGCCAAGTGTAGCATAGGATAGGATAGAATCACAGCAAAAGTAACATACCGCTAAAGTATTCAACAAAACGAGTATTCAAAACCTTTTGAATGTGAATAAGTAAAAAACAACAACTACAAACTACAATAGAATAGAATAGAATAGAATAGAATAGAATAGAATAGAATAGAATAGAATAGAATAGAATAGAATAGAATAGAAACAAATCAAATCCATGTATGCAATTTTGGACAAACTAGAATAGAATCACGACAAAAGTAGTGCTAAAAGTAACACTAAAGTATTCAAGAAAACTAATTCACATTACCAACTTTTGAATGTAAATAAACAAAACAAACAAATAAATAAAAACAACTAGAATAGATAGAAAAAACAGAATAGTACAATCAAAGCAAATGTAACACCAATAGTAGCACTAAAGTACATCAACAAAACAAATCAATAGCTTACTTTGAATGTAAATAAAATATATATACAAACTACAACAGAACATGATAAAATAAATAACAACTACAAACTAGAACAGAATAGAATAGAATAGAATAGAATAGAATAGAATAGAATAGAATAGAATAGAATAGAATAGAACCAAATAAAAGCATCAGTAACACCAAAGTACATCAACAAAACAAATCAATATAGCCCACGTTTGGATATAAATAAATAAAAAAACAACTACAAACTACAATAGAATAATAAAATAGAATGGAACTGAATAGCATTGAATAAAATTGAACAGTAACACTAAAGTATTCAACAAAACGAATCAATATGACCAACTTTTGATTGTAAATAAATAAAAAAGAAAGTTTTGATAGAATAGAACAGAATAGAATAACAGCAAAAGTAATGCTAACAGTAACACTGAAGTAGCCTACGTCAACAAACCAAACCCCCCTAAACTACAACAGAACATAATAGAATAAAACAGAATAGAATTACAGCTAATGTACATCAACACTTTAAATCCAGAGAGCCAAATATTAGATGTAAATAAATAAAAAAGAAAACTACAAACCAGAATAGAATGTAATACAATACAATCACAGCAAAAGTAACAGAAACAGTAACACTAAAGTACGTCAACAAAACAAATCCATACAAGTTAGCCCACTTTTGGATGCGCTTTTATAATATAGATTGTGTCAAAGCAGCTTCACATTGAAGATCATAGTAATATATATATATATATATATATATATATATATATACAGTAGCCCACTCTTGTATATAAATAAAAAACAACAACTACAAACCACAATTGAATAGAAGCAAAAGTAATGCTAACAGTAACACTAAAGTATTCAACAAAACTAATCAAAATAACCAACTTTTGATTGTAAATAAATAAAAAGTTAGAATGAATAACAGCAAAAGTAATGCTAACAATAGTACTGAAGTAACATTATGTCAACAAACCAAATCTATAACTTAGCCCACTTTTGAATGTGAATAAAAAATATATTTCTATTAAAATAATCAGAATAGAATAGAACTGAATAACAGCAAAGGTAACTATCAGTAACACCAGTACAGCAAAAAATATCCATATAGCCCACGTTTGCATATAAATAAAAAAACAACTAAAAACTACTATAGAATAGAAGCAAAAGTAATGCTAACAGTAGCACTAAAGTATTCAACAAAACTAATCAATATAACCAACTTTTTGATTGTAAATAAATAAAAAGTTAGAATGAATAACAGCAGAAGTAACGCTAACAATAACACAAAAGTAACGATACATCAACCAACTAGATTCGCATATAACCCACTTTTGAATGTAAATAAAATATATTTCCATTAGAATAGAATAGAATAGAATAGAATAGAATAGAATAGAATAGAAGCGCAACCAAGAAAAAACACAAACTGAAAGAGGACATTTCTTTCAGGTAAGTTAGTTTGGGGGTGACCATCGCAAAAAAAACTGCAGAACTAAGTTACAGACCAGAACGAGCGCAAATCTCTCCTCCAGCTCCGCTGGCTCGGGCATGGGCAGTTTGAGGGGCATGTGGTGTCCTCTGGGGTCAGTGTGTTGGTTCATACTCCCCGCGTTCCCCATCTCTCTGTCTCTCCTCCGAAAAATTACAATCACACTTTTAATCTGCGGGTTCGTCCTGCGTGTACTCCGATATCCGTTCCCACTGCGCCTGACCGACTTTATCTGAGCTTGAACACTTCATGGAGGTTAGGAGCAGGGGTCCACCACGCGCAGCTGCATTATAACTTCTTAAAAGCAGCAGGAGCGCATATAACGTGCCCTATTCGCATGTTGCTCAATGTCCGCACCACTCCCAGTGAGCCGCTCTGTTCTTCATGATTCAAGTCCCTGAAACGCACTTCTGCGGACAACTACAGCCGCTGTCGCTACAACTCCGCCCCTCGAGAGGGTTTAGCCAATGGCGCTACAGCAAGGGCTTTGCAGTTTGGTGGGCGCAGCTGATTGACTGGTGGCAAGCGCGCATAACATTTAATATCATTCCCATGACTTTTTTTCTGCTTATGTTTTGTTTTTAGAGATCAACAATTCAGTTTAAAAATATAAAATATAATTAGATATTTATATTAAGTAAAGGTAAAATATAATTATTGATGTCAAGATTTTTACTAATATTTAATCAAATAAAAAAATGTTACACACTTTCACAAAATGTAGCTGCAAAAATAAATGATCATATTTGTAATTATTTTAAATCGCCACTAAAATATATACGCTGCAAAATCAAATATACTGTGTGTTACCTAAGGAATGTCTGATTTTCAATATTTTTCTTTCTTTTTTTTAAGCGTAACTTAGTGCATGAATTATTGTGGATTCTTTGAATCATTCTATAATTTTCTGATTTATTTAGAAGTTTTCAGATTTCATTTTCAGAGCGATGAAATGACAAAAAAAATTTACATCTCAACAATTTAATTGTGTTTTACCCTCAATTACAGGTATCAAGAATATTAAATATTGTGGATGTCTCTGCAGTGAATTCATATTTTAATAAAATGGCACACTCTCATTATTAGCATGTTATGCCAAAGAATAAATAAATAATTGTGAAACAGCAGTCAAAAAATAATTAAATGAAATAAGGTTTATATAACAAAATTTAGTTTAAAAATCCTCAAAATGTCCATTTATTTTTTATATTTATTTACTTTTCCATTTATTTATGTGTTTACACACACACACACACACACACACACACACACACACAGCCCACTTTATTGGGTACACCTGTCCAAATGCTTGTTATGCAAATAATCAACCAATCACATGGCAGTAACTCAATGCATTTAGGCATGTAGACTTGGTCAAGACAATCTGCTGCAGTTCAAACCGAGCATCAGAATGGGCAAGAAAGGTGATTTAAGTGACTTTGAACGTGGCATGGTTGTTAATGCCAGATGTGCTGGTCTGAGTATTTCAGAAACTGCTGATCTACTGGGATTTTCACGCACAACCATCCCTAGGGTTTACAAAGAATGGTCCAAAATTAAGATCCAGTTCTTTAGGTGCAAATGCCAGAGGTCAGAGGAGAATGGCCAGACTGGTTCCAGCTGATAAAACGGCAACAGCAACTCAAATAACCACTCGTTACAACCGAGGTCTGCAGAAGAGCATCTCTGAACGCACAACACGTCCAACCTTGAGGAGACACACTTTGGGCCCAATAGTACCAATTGAGCATCGTGTCAATGCCACAGCCTACCTGAGTATTGTTGATGACCATGTCCATCTCTTTATGACCACAGTGTTCCCATCTTCTGATGGCTACTTCCAGCAAGATAATGAGTTCACTGTACTCAAATGGCCTTCACAGTCACCGGATCTCGATCCAATAGAGCACCTTTGGGATGTGGTGGAACGCGAGGTTCGATCATAACAAATCTCTATTGTCAATATAAATTTCTTTATATTTATAAGTTAAAGTTAAACCTCTGTCATTTACTAATAAATACATACTACATTTCAACAAAACTTTCTTCATCTCAAAAGTTTCTTCACCAGCTTCATCTCAGCCCTGACCAGTTGTGTGTGATGATATGATAAAATATCCATTATTACTATTATTACTCCATTATAAATTAGCCATTATTGATTGATGATGAGCTAAAGACTCTCTGTACACTTCAAGACATAAGAGCTGATGCTTGTTAAACTCCATATAGAGAACCAATCTTCATACAAAAGAATAAAGAGGCACAGGCAACCCACAGCTGCTGAAACCTAAGAAACCCTTAGAGGCCCAAGTCCACTACAAGTGCTTCGAAAATGCCAAAAATAAAGGGGAAAGAATCCAATCTCTGTTGTAGGACAGATGTTGCTAAATTTGTCTGTGAGCCAGATGAAAGAAGCAATGTCCTTAAACTCCATATATACCCCAGACAGAGGCAGAAGACAGAGACGATATTGTGCTGAAAGAGCGAGGATGACACTGGGTTAAAACACCACCATGATGCAGTGATCAGACAGAAGCCGAGTCTCTCATTTCACTGTTAACTCCCACAAAGATTTAAAATGCTGTGTTATACATGGTATCTACTTTGTTATCTAAAGGTCCTTATACCACTTAATACGTGATTCGCCAATCAATTTTTTTTAGCATTTGTTTGTTAACTTTTTAAGCTTACTTAATATTTCTGTACGGTTTAAAAATAAAACAATAATAACATTTTAATACAAATTAATAAAAAGTGCATACTGAAGTAATAATTATAATAGCAAAATAAAAAATAGGTAATACAAATAAATATTTAATTGTAATAATAACTACAATAAATAAATAATAACATCATAAAAAATATTATAAATTAAATATTAAAATAATATTTAAAATGACATTTAAATAGGTTATTTAAAATGTATTTAAATAATTAAGTAAAAGTATATAAATAGATAGAAATTAATAAAATAAATAAGTAGTTTTTTTAATAATTAAAAAATAAATGCATAACATTAATGAAATAAATAAGTAAATTAAATAAATGAATATGTAAATGTAAATAATTCAAAAGAAAGTATATTAAAAAAATAAATGAAATAAAATGTTAAATAATATAAAAAATAAAACAAACAATTTTGACTAATTAATTAAATATATAATTAAAAAGCTAACAGTATGTAACATAAATAAATAAAAACGAAATATTTTAATGAAAAACAAATACATGAAAATAGCATTAATACTACTACTACTAATAAAAATATTAATAAAAATACTACTAAAGTAATACATATTTATAATAATAAATGAACTAAGAAAAATAAAATCATTCATTTATTATTTATAAAAATGTATAAATAAATAAATAAATAAATAAATAAATATATATATATATATATATATATATATATATATATATATATATATATATATATATATATATATATATATACATAAAAAATAAATAAAACATCAATAATAACAATAATAATAATAATAATAATAATTATTATTATTATTATTATTATTATTATTTTAATAATTGTAATAACAATTAAATGAAATACAAATATATAAGTCAATATTTCATGTTTTTGAAATACACCATTTTTCAAATCAATTAGACTATTGGTGGTTTGATTACAGCCATTCTCGCGTTTTTTTTTTCACTCAATAGCACCACCATGTGACCAAAATCTGCCAGTTTATACTGTTTTACATATGTTTGATAAGTGTGGCAAATACATCTCAATTCGTCCCTGAGCTATGAGGTTTTAAAGCTTTTTTTCATCTCTAAATTATATAATTTTTTTGAGTTTATTTTTATTTTGATACAATTATTGAGATTCAGCGTCTGGAGAATATTTCTACACTGGTTCCTGGACTTGATGTTAAACAGTGCTTTCACGCCACCATGTGGTCAAACTGCGGTGATGTTTTCAGTGAATATATCCATTCCAAGATTGGTAATATCTCATTTTGTTCAAAAGTTGTGAAAAAAAACTCCAAGTCTGAAATTATGTTCTAATGTTAATATATATATATATATATATAGGCGAAGCAGAGGCGCAGAGGTAGTGCTGTCGCCTCACAGCAAGAAGGTCGCTGGTTTGAGCCTCGGCTCAGTTGGCTCAGTGTTAAGCCTTCTTAATGGGCAATGCAGGACTGGCCAAACGCAATTCTCCACAGCAAAAACAGTTGTATAGAACAGGACAGACCTCAGGGCGGGCAAGCCAATGGATAGGCTTCACCCACTGCTGTGGGTACAGCAGACATGAGCCAATGCACAATGGGATAAACAAGGATGAAAAATCACACAGTATGAACCATCAAAGACGCGATCGGAGAGAATCGCCGATGCATGCGAGATATTTGGCATGCTAAATATCTGGAGCTGTCGGCGATTCAAATCATGCCATGTGAATTCAGTTTTGACTGAAAATAATGCGTCAAACCGGAAACACAGAGTCATGCATCAAGTTTCGGAGGTTGCTGCGGTGCAAAGTTCAAGCTTGGTTAACTCTGACCTGCGAAATCGCATCACTTGACTGCGTGAGACTAATCAAAACATGACCTCTCTGGACAGAAACTTAACATGGAGCAAATCGCTCACTTTTTTAATGTCTAATCATCTTGTTTAATCCCGCCCCTTTTTCAAGCAAAGAACGAGGGAGAAGGAGAGATTACATAGCCAACAATCAGAGAAGAGGGAGAACAGGTGAGTGTGATAGGAACGGGGTAACAATGTAATTGATAGCAGGTGTGCATGTGCGCACAAATAGACACAAGAGGGAGACAGAGAAAACACACAAAAACCCTGACAATACAGTAACTCGAGCTTACGTTGAAAATTTCTATAGATTTTTGGAAGATGAAAAAATAAATTACTCTGTGTTTAAAGGCATTCAATTGATAGTTCACTTCTGATGTCTCACTTTCATGTGCATACATTCCATTGAACTAGGCCTGTGTGAAAAATCAGTGATCGCATAGTACCAACAAAGCATAAATAGGCTGGTTTGATTTTGTCAATTTGCTGAACCCATGAACTGGGATTTGGTTCAAGTACCATTAAAGTACATAACTTAGTCAACATGTTAACAGACCATTAGCTGATTGTTTCAAGCATTCTGTTTGCATTCCAAGCTATCACCAACAGAGGTCCCCATTGTGCTGTCATGGTGTTGTTATTTCCGAAGAAAAATGGTTGAAACATACTGAAAACGTCCTTTTATCTGCAATCAATCAATCAATGAATCAATTAATCAATCAATCAATCAATGCATTTTTTTTTTGATTCAGAGGTTATACATGTGGTCTTTTTATGATCACAAATGCATTCATAAGTATAAACACTCCTTCTGTTCCTTGGAATAAATTGCTATGATTCAGTTTGAGTTCAGTTCATTGCTGGTTCTTACATTA